CATAATACATACATACATATATGGGGATTCTGACCCCGGGGACCCGCAGGGCCCCCCCCCCTGTACATAGGTAGTGCCCCCCTCCCAGGAGCCGCCCCCGAGGCTCAGAGCAGCCCTAAATCCGCCCAGTATCGTTTACAGATGGCCCAAGAGCTCTGCAAGACGCACCAAGAGGACCCCAAGAGCGCTCCAAGACGGCACAGGAGGCCCCCAAGGGTGCCCGAGAGGCTTCCGAAAAGGTCCTCGAGAAATTCGAATCTTTCACAAACCAGCGGGGAATCTATATTTTTGGCCTCAGAGGCCCTCAAGACGGCCCAAGAGGCCTGCCAGAAGGTCACCAAAAGGCAAAAACAGCCAAATTCCTTTGGGAAAACGTATGTTTTTTGACTATTCCCCAAGACGGCCGTAAGACGACCCAAGAGGCCCCCAAGAGGACCCCAAGACGACCCAAGAGAGCTCCAACACGGCCCATGAGAGCCCCCCAACGGCCCACGACGGTCCCCAGAGGTTCCCAAAAGAGTCCCCAGGGAGCCCCAAGAGGGCCACAGGAGGCACCCTCGACGGCCCAAGAGGGCCCCAAGACGGCCCAAGCGCCCAAGACGGTCCAAGAGGGCCCCGGGACGGGCCAAGAGGGCCCCAAAGAGCCCCAAAGAGCCCCAAAAGGACCCCCAAGAAGGTCCTAAGAGGCCCCCAGAGACTCCCAAAACGGTCCCAAGAAGCTTCCCAGTAGTCACCCGTAAGCGTATGGGAGGTCTCGCTTCGACGTCCTGCACGAGGCTCCCAGAAAAGGCTTCAAGAGGCTCCCGATTCACGATCCATCTCAGGGCTTCAGAGGCCTCACAGAATCATGCCGCGTGGCCCACAGAAGCACCCAAGACGCCCCGAACTCACGATCCAGGTCAGGGGTGTATTTACTGCCATGGGCGGGGCGGCGGGAGCGAACGTTGGCTTTGGAACCGTCGGTGGAGCTCCCTGTTGATACGATTCGTGTGAGGAGACAGTCGACATACGCGTGGGGGGACACGTCACGTAATGCGAATTCCCACACTAAGGCCGCACGTGAAACGACATCCCTCTGGGGCACGATTCGTGTGTTGGGTGTGCCGAGATGGGCGGAGCGACGCCGTGCGAACTTTGTCCCTGGACCCGAAAGAGGAGCTCCCAGGGGGACAAGATCCGTGTGAGTGCCGTGCTGAAATTGACGGGGGGGCACCATGTGAACCCCGCCTTCATCTGGGGCCGTAGGTCTCGCTTCCACCCGCATGATCGGTACTTTTTTACCTCGAGCTCAAGCCAGTCAGTTGTGGGTCACTGCTTCAGTGGAGCTGTGACCTTCTCAAGGGATGGGGCTCTTGAGAACGCCCTTCTTGGGGCTCATTGTGGGCCTCTGCGTTTTTTGTCGCGCTGAGGAGGCACTTCCTTGGACCCTCTCTTTCTGTCGTTATCTTCGGGCTTTCTTGGGGCGCCTCTTGGGGCCCTCCTGTGCTTCGTTCTGGAGCCTGCTTGGAGCTCTTTCGGGGCCACCCTTGGGCCCCCCTTAGCCTCTCTCGGAGAACTCATTGGATGTTCTTGTGTGCCCTTTGACCCTGTCTTGGGCTCCCCTTGGGGTCCTCTTGGGCTCTTCCCAAGGCGGCTCGTCCCTGGGATCTCTGAGTTCCGTGACGCCTCGGACTCTCTCGGTCTTTTGTCTTATCGTGCATTGTATTGCATTGCATTCCACTGGGCTGCTTTCCGTTGTATGTGCAATTGCATTGTTTCGTGATCCACATTGCACTTATGAGCAACGCTTTCCTTTGCTTTGCATTGCATTCATAGCCTTGCATGTGTTTGGCTAAGCTGGCTTGCATAGCTTCGAATTGAATACTGGAGAGGCCTTACTGCCGGTGCCGCCGACCCTGAACGACGACGGCGGCGGCGACGACGACGACGACGACGACGACTAAGGGGGGTCGCTCCCCCCTGTGGAGGGGGGGACTGGCCCGTGGGGGGGGGCTCCCTCCTGTGGATAGGGGGAGCATGGGACGCTTGGAAGGGGGGGCAAATCGGGGACGCTGGGGGGAAGGGAGGAGAGGCTCTCTCCCCCCGGTTCTTGGGGGGTCCCGGGGACCCTCCGCCACATATTCGGGATCAGCAAAACAATAACAGGAGCCCCACGGGCCCCAGGGCACCCCCCGGGACCACCCCCCAGGACCACCCCCCGAGACCACCCGCCGGGACCACCCCCCGGGAGTTGCCCCGGGACCCCCCCCCCGCTGGGGAAGGGATCAAGGGAAGGTGCTTCCCTTCGTTGTTCGATTCGATTTCGTGTTGGCTGGATCGGTTGAGGAAGAGGGCCCAGGGAAAGGGGAAGATGGCGAGGGCGACGACGACGACAACGACGACGGCGACGTCGACGACGACACCGACGACGACAAACGGAAGAGCGCCTCACACACGCCGACAGGGTCGGCGGATTAAGGAGCATATGTCATTGTCGGTGCTTGGGTTCTGTTCGGTCAGCATTATGGATGCTTCTTGTACCTCATGCTTACACCATCAATGGGTAATCACTTCAGTGGATACGGGACCTCCTCAAGGGATGGGGTCGACTAGAACCTCAGCGCGCGCGAAGCGCGCGCGTGCTTCTAGTGTGTATATATGATACACACATATATATATATATATGATACATATATACATCTGTACACAGACATATACATCGAACTACGTATACATACGCATATAGACATATGTACATCTATACATATGTATGCTATGTGGGGAAGTGTACGGCGTACAATCTAGGTCGCAACGAATGTGGTGCAATCCTCCTCCTTGTTCTCACCCTTCACCTTGGCACTCGTCCGCAGTGAATCACTTCATCACAATAGTATGTAATAGTAGCAGCCCAGACTCCCATGCATTGAGGTCTTGGCTGAGGGAATCGCAAAGTCTTCCCTGCTGCATTGTAACTGAGAACTGCTTGTTGCCTCAAGTGCCTCCATCTCGGCGACGAAAGGTTCAACATTAGCATATATGTGAGGAAATACCAGTACATACCAGTACGGCCACTGATGTTCCACTCCGTGTATACCATAACATATGAGAAGTCAGTCTTGACGTAGCTCATGTTTGATTCCAAGAGAAAAAACTGCCGTTGGCTGCCTCTTCAGCCGATAAACCATATGAAGCTGCCCTCGCACACAATGCAAGGGGCTAGTATACAGTGGAAATACGAAGAAATTAGATCCCACCATATCACAACAATAAATAATCACAGCGCTGGCCGAGGGGGAGCACGCTCCGTCGCGATTAAGGCTTCGTGGCCACCAGTAATGGCCCTACGGGTCCTCCCCCTCGGCAATATTCAATAACTGCATTCAGCATCCCAAATGCATCCAGCAAAAACCAGACTCACCGCCACCCCTACGCGCTGTTAACCTGCGAGCGACCTAAGTCCAACAGGCAGGTGCACCTGAGGGGTGGGCAGTGGCTGTGCGACTAAACCAGGTAGTTAGCCTGGATTTTGCGTCCTAACGCCCTCCACAAAGAGCGGCAGTAAATTGCTGAAACCTTCTTGTCGGTGCTGTGGAGCCACAGAGAGTACATGCCAATTCCTTGTCTTTTTGGTCAGCTCGATAATGTGTGAGAACGTGACAACGATTACCAGGAATCTTGGTCCTCTTGTTATGCTCGTCTACCATGATTACGTAGTCAGCAGCGGTGCGCTTTTTGCCAAGACGTGGGCCACGTGGAGCTCCAGGCTGACAAAGAAGGCGCGACCATGAGCCAAGCTGGCTCACTTTTGACTCGAGATTGCAATTGACGCACACCAATTTGGCAGGTTGATCCTTGTTCGGCCCCTTAAGAGGGGCAAGTACATGATATCCCTGTTGGCGTGCTTCGCGATTATGCAGAAGTCTCTTCTGCTCGTTCTGAAGATCTCGGCCTGTGAGGCCTTCCCAATCTTTCTTCTCCTCGTCCGTCCAAGTGATGACAGCTCGCATGACCTTGACAGTAGTGACATGATGAGCCCGTCGCACCACAGAGACATGTTCAGCTGCAGCAGCGGCCCTTGCAACAATGTCGCTTGGCCTCACCGTAGTTGACAGGTTCTCAGCTAGCTTCGGAGGTTGCCATATGGGCTTGGGTACCGAGCCCCAAGCTGGCTGCACTCGAATGCCTTTTGTCTTCTCCGTCGTCGCCAAAGCCACCGCGTATAATACTCGCATCGTGTGTTGGTGATTCACAAACACTGGCCTGCACTTGAAGCCAGGCACTGCACGTATACCCAGTGGTGATAAGGCTCGTATTTCTTTAAAACATTCACGTGGTCCCAATTTGCACTTGCACAAGTAGCCCATCCGAGTAGCAGCAGTCGAGAAATATCTCGCCATACGCTCAAGAGTAGCTGTCTGTGGATCTTCCGCCGGCGTGACCAACGGTAAACCAGTACAGGTAGTGAAATCAATCGCCAACTCCGCCCAAGAAACAGACATGGGTGCCATTGGTGTATCGTCAGCAGCCCATCGAAGTTGCGAGAAGTACCAAACAATCGCAGGAAATAAAGCTTGTTGGTAATACCAATCCTTGCCTGTCAGTATCTCTGGGATCTGTGGTTCGAATTCCCACTCTGGCAGGTTCACCTCGACAGGGTCCCAGGGGTAGCCAGGGAAGGCCATCTTCGGACTCCACGTCAGGGGATTGGTAGTCATCTGATCCAAAGCTGGTCGTACCCACGAGGAGCTTGACGACGCTGATGTTGCAAGGTCCACAGCCAGTCGTGATGATGAGGCTGGGGTGGTTGACGGTGGCGTATCTGTAGTACATGATGTTGCCGTAGATCGCGATGTTTTGCTCCTCAAGCGGCGCATTGGTGTTCGTGCAGGTTGGCCTTCACTTTGACAGCTGCGAGGGGTGTCCGCAACTGCCGTCGTAGCTGCAGCCGTCGGGCTGGCAGATTGACCATCCTGTGTTGGGGTCGGTGCGACAGTCGTTGGCGATGCCTCGGTCCTGAGGACCTGGGGCGTTGCAGCTCGCTGATCACTTGCTTCATTCGTACCGTCATCGTCCATGCCGAGATGAGCCCAAGGATCCTCAGCATCCTCATCTGGCCATTGGGGGTCTGCACCTTCCAGTTCGGCATTTTGCATAGCTTGGGCTTGAGCGCATCGGGCATGATGAGTATCTCTTCCCATAGCTTGAAGTTGCTTTGCACGTGCAGCCAAGACCATCGTGGCTGTGTGCTGTAAAGTATAACATAGATGCTGATCTCGCAGGTGTTGGTGTCTGATATCCACTGGCACACTATGTTGGCGTGCAGCTTGGACAGCACTTTCATCTGCTCGTCTGTTTGCCTCCCAGTCAGGTAGATCTTCTGGGGGTACTTCGTCTTTTTTGCGATGTGCTTTGATCTTTTCAATGCGGAAACAATCTGAACCTTTTGCAGCAACTCCTGTGGCGATAGCTGTCCACAGGTCACGATGCTGTCGAGGCTTGATAGTCACTCCATTCAGGATGGCAGTAAAGTTTCTGACGCAGTATCCGCTGTCGGTGAGGTAGAGCTGCTTGGTCCATGCCCAGGATACAAAGTGTCGAAGGGCACTGACTTCAGCTCTCTGAGCTCCTTGCGAGACGCTCCTCAGCGGGACAGAAACATTGCAGGGGTGGTTCTCTCCATAGTAGAGACCGTAGCCAGATCTTCGTAGGCGCAGGTCTGACGCCTGCCCAGGGCAGGCACCATCCCCCGCCACCACTAAGTATCCTTCCTTCTCGCGTGTGTTGCTGTGCTCGTCTTGACCTGGCTCGTAATTCCCATCTGCATGGTGAGGGGGTGGTGGAAGGTCAGGTTCATCAGGCAGCAGCTCCGATGCGAAATTGTCATACACTGGTCTGTCTGAGCAGAGGCCACATTGTCGGTAACATACAGGTAAAGCCAGAATCTCCTCCTTCGTGTAGTGGTCGAGCAACGGTTGGCGCTGCTGAGCCCACTGCGGGCAATGCAAGAGGATGTGATCCATATCTTCATCAGGGTCTCCACAAAAAGGGCAGAATCGATGATCTCGTTGGCCCGTGATGTGGTGAAGCCTATGACCTGTGACAGTTGCTCCTTGGAGCAAGGCTCGCAGAAAGGGTACTTGTTCGCGTGTCAGCTTCGGCACTGCAACATCCACTGCATCCAGTAGGAGTGGGGGCTGAGGCTTAACACTGTCAGGATTGTCCTCTTCGTCATCATCTGGTCGTAGGCTGCGTTCAGCTCGCCTGAGGATGGCCGTTGTAATATGATAATTTATGCCGTGCTTGGAGCCGAGCATATCTTTCCTCTCCAGCAACTGAGGGTCAGTAGACCACACCCAGCGACGCAGGTCTTCTCGAAGTACATGCTGCCACCAGCCCTCAGGATGCTTTGCCAAGTAGACCAGCTGACCATTGGCACGCTTGAAGTGATCAAACTCGGGCCAGGTCCAGCCAAGGTCGCTCAGAACTGTAAAAATGCGGCCAATAGGCCCACCATCTGTCGCACTGGTCGAACGAGTCCTCATTATCTCCCAGCTGGCTTTAGCTCGGGGTAGGAGGCGCGGTGCCGCTGGGCTTGTGAAGAGTCGCCGAACTACTTGCAGAGGTTGTGCCGTCGATATCTGAATCGGATCGAGGCAATGTCCTTTGGTAATCAAGGTGAAGGTGATGGCAGGTGAGCGGTACGCACGCCCCTTGTGCCATAGGGACTTCATCACTGAGCTTCTGAAATTCAGATGGTTGTGTCTGGGTAGTCGTCGAAACTCCAAGCCTGGTGCCAGTCTAGGGAGTGCAGCCATCGCCAGTAGCTGCTGCTTCCCTCGAAGTCCCACAGGGGCTCCTCCAGCACGGCGTGATACTCGGTATGCAGATTCATAACGTAGTCGGCGTTGTCGAGCAGGACAAGAGCCCAGAGAGACAATCTCACCGCCTACCAGTATGAAATGTCTGGTCATGATAGGTGTGTGTCCAGCCGCACGCAGGGCGAAGGACAGCTCATTCTCGGCTTTGTGCGTTGTTGCATAATGCTTAGTCTTGCTGAGGTTCGTGACTGTGCCACTGAGGTTGTCAAACTCCAAGGATATACTTGTGGCACGTGTTGTTCTCGCAGCATGACCTGGTCCTTCGGCGCGAAAGTTACCATCATCTATGAAACTGCTGACTCTGACGGGGCCCTCGGCTTCCAGAGCTTTGGACCAGACCGACATGAGGGCAAGCGCCTGCTGCAAGGACCAAGAGTCTCCTTGAACAAATCCATTCTTTCTGATAGTTGGAGGGCCCACAGCTTGTGCCACCTTCCAATGTGTCGATAGCGCAGCATAAAAACTCTTCTCCGCAGCGAGGACTCCTGCAGGGCAACCTAGGGCTTGCATGAGTCGATTGCCGATGTCATGTTCCAGTAAATCGAAGAACTTCTTCCTGTCAGCGGTGCACCCCGATAACGACGTACCCGTGAGTTGGCTGTGTTCAATTTCCATATTCAGCTCCCATGCGATGGATTGATAATGGTGTCCAGATCTTGCACCTGCAGCTCCATGATGGAGCCACTCTTCTCTCCAGGGAGACATCTGCTGGAAACGGTCGCCTGTCAAGGCAGTGTATATTGGCGAAAGGTTGGTGATCGGCCGTGTTTGATCCACCGTGGCCAGCCACACTTCATCAGGTTCACAGGTTGAGGCAAGGTCTGCCTCTGGATCCCACTTGGGTAAACAGGACGTGATACCCGTGCACATAACGTCTGGCCAGGGAAGCCACTGATCTTCAATACCTTTTAGGGCAACGGCTATCAGCTCGCAGATGGTTAGAGGTAGCAATCGAAGTTCGCCCACTCGCCAGCCATCGGCTGCCACAGCACGTGTTATTCCCATTTTTCTGAATTGCTTGAGCAGCCTGGAGCCTGTGATGTCGGTGATGGTACACTGGCATGAAGGGATATAGCGTCCAAAGCGCGAAAAGAACTTATCCCAGTCACAGAGCTCAGGTTTATTGAAAATCGTACTCCAGTAGCGGTTGATGTGGTCCAAGATGTCAGTGCGCTTGGTGACTATCTCATTGGATTGGTAACCTCGTACCGCATGGAGTGAATGATATTGGCGCTGCTTGATCCAAGAGTACATGTCACGGCCCCCTTCATAGCGAAGTGATGTTCGTAGACGTTTGCGCCATTCAGCTATACGTGTAAGCTTTCTTTCTTTCACAATGACTGCATGCTTCTCGTCTAGTAAGGACTGCCAAGATGCAATCTCGGTCAGTGTCGGAAGCCTGCCTGGTAGATTGGTAGATTGCCCAGTCCTGCTAGAAGACGTGGTATGTTGGTACGCAGCTTGTCCCACAGGCGCTGCGCACTCAGTTGGTGTTCTAGTGAAGGTCCCTCTGTACCCTGGAAGTAGATGTGAATCTTCTTTGAGAGCTCAGCGAGACGGTGGAGTACATTCTCGATCTGCCGCAACTTAGATGTTGTGGGACCTTCTCGAGCAGGATCTTTTGCCGACGTCGGAGCAACCACAGATTGCTCAACAAGCGCTGGCATCTTGCTTCGTCCATGGTACCTGAAATCAAACTTGATGTTGGTATGCGCCAGACGTTTCTCCAAGAAATCTTCACCCATCCGTCCGATGAGCGACCATGCTGTGTTTGCATCTTCTTTGTCCAGTGCCTCGTAGAATCTGTCATAATACTCATCCACACATTCTTTGCCCAACGCTTCGTTTTCCTCCTCAGGGATCTTCTTGACTAGCTCCACGGGGTAGGCCACAGGCATACGATACCTCTGCCAGACCTCTGCGAGCTTGGTGATATTCAGCGTGAGCTCCAGACCTAGGTGGCACTTGATCCCCAGGTCCCTTCGCAAGCGAAAAGAGTGGATGGAATCTCGAGCTGATGTACTGACCAGAATAAGATCGGGCCGCGTAACATGATTGCCTGCCGAATATTTGTCCCACCGCGGGTCCAGGCCGTAAGTAGGTTCTCCTCCATACATAGCTCCAACATCGTGCCATCTCCCTGTTGCCAGGGCCGCTGATAGCGTGGATGTCTGTGCAATTGTCGTATTCGAGTCCACACACAGGATCGCCGGCTGGTCGCCCAAGGCCTCGGCATCCTCGAATACAAACTGAAATAGTCTGTCGTTGCGTGTACGCACCAATGGGTCATTACCCGATTCATTATACATGGAAATGATGTGAACAGGAGTGGCCCCCAGCATCACAAGTTGCCTTTGCCAGCGGGCGCTGAGATACAACTCCTTGGCTGCACCGTGCTTGCGTCCACTTTCCATTGCAGTAATAGTAGTTCTTGAGAAGATCGCAACTCCACCCTGGGTGCTGCGATGAAACTTTTCTCCATGACATCGTTGCTGGCGAACAGGGTGACCAAAACAAACATTGTATCCATATGCAGCACAGGCTTTAGTACAAGCCATCTGCTCCTTCAAATTGAGGCGTGTCTCCTGCAGCGCAAGGACATCTGCATTCATGAGAGCAAGGCGGCCAGAAAAAGTATTCCAGCTAGTAATATTTGCAGAAAGGATAGTGGCGAGACCTGCAGGACCACAGGGAGACACTGCAGGAGCTTGTTTCCCTCGCAGACGACGCGAGGGCATCATCACTGATCCATGTCAGTTGCAGCACTGTCTTTGAGCCTTTTGCTCAGACGTTCAATCTCCTCGTTTTGCTCCTTCTCAGCACTGGATAAGCCTGCATCTGAGCGGAGAACTTCGAAGCACTTTGCAATACCTTGCCCCTGAAGCTGAAGTTGGGCATAGATCTTTTGATTGTTTGCAGCCACCGCCTGTCCAATTGCCTCCAGCAAGAACTTTTGAAATTCAGGGGGCATCGCGGAGCCTGGCGTGGATGGTGGTGTGTCTGAAGGTGGTGGAGTTTGCTGCACTGGCTGACCTTGCTGCGGAGCAGGTGCGGGTCGCGTGAGTTGTGCGGCCAAACTCGTCTTCTTGGTTGCCGGTGTCGTCTTGGGCTCAGGTTTGTCATACTTCGTGACCATCTCCGCCCAGGATGTTGCTGATGGGGCTGGTGTAGCACTCTTCTGCTTGACCATGTTGATTGTTGCCTTTACTCCTGCCAGGGTGAGGTCCGAGACCGATGGGGGGCCTTCAGCTCGACAACGCACAACTGGCGTAGCTTTAGCACCTCTTCCCTTGGAACGTATATGAACAAACTCTGCTTTCCACCCCAGCTGAGTGGATATCTCTTGCACGATCTGCTTCCCTTCGACGAGCTTCGGTAACGGTGAAATCTCGTAGAGGGTCGGCGCTGGTGGGGTTCTCGACTGCAACTTCTGCCAGGCTGGGCCTGACTTCGACTTCTCAACTCTGAAGAACAATGCACCATTTTGCTTGTAGCCTAGCCCGCGGCCGCCCTCTAGGTCCGTGACCATGTTGAGCGCATCCGTCAGGGAGATGGCCTTCGGGAACGGGACAAAATCTTCTGTATTCTTTTCTTCGTCCAGGGCCGCGTTGATAATACCTCCTGCTCGTGAGCGTTGGAAGATAACACCATCTGGTCCTGACGCAGCTCGTAGTTGCACCGCACGTGTGGCTGATACTTTGAACAATCCCGATACCACACGATGACCTGGAAGATCTTCATTGAAGACTCTGCCGCTCCAGCAGCGCAGGTCCATATCTGCGCCTCCGTTGCACTTTGCCTTCACGATACTTGCCAATTCAGCATCCAGCACTCTCCATGGCGGGATAGTGTCGAACTTTCTTTTTTGACCTGATGTTTCTGCCCGCTGATCTCGGGCTGACGTTGCTTGTCTGTGTAGTTTGAGGAGCTCTTTGAAGATCTTCTCGGGAGCATGCTCTTCGAGGATCGCGACATTCATGAGCTCATCCTGTGTACATGTAATAGCAGTCGGCACTCTGGTTGGTTCAACTTTCTGTTGAGTCGATCCTCCATATTGCCAAACGTACAGTTGCTTGATATGGCGTCTCTCTTCGTATATGAGCGGCACGTCTAAGAGAGTAATACATGGAGCCAGACCCCTCTGGCCACACAGCATGAACAATTCTTTCGAGACCTGACTGGGTGATTGTGCCAAGACGAATCCAAAAGCATCAGCAGGATCTGGTCTTTGCCAAAATGAGTCCAAACGCGCGAGCTCAAGGAACTCGTCCGTTGTGACAAGGTGTACTGCTTTCATACTCTCGTAATCCTGCGGAAGGCCACGCCTCACAGGGATGTCCCAGTCAGCAGGGTCGAGGCTCGCTTGGTACTGCCAGCCTGTCTTTGACTTTGGGGGCATAGCCTTCTGCTTCTTGGGCGGTTGCGGCTTGGCTGGCGGGGTGGCTCCGTAAGGCTTCTCCTCCAACCATACCTTCATCGCATCTGCTATCTCCTTGGCGGGCATGGCTGCTATCTTGGCCATTCGCTCTGTGGAGAACTTCTTCAAGTGATCATACATCTTTTGAGGTTTGTCCACACTTGCTGCCTCCAGCATAGTAAGGACTCGGCTTTTGTCCATCTGCGGCGTGTGCTTTGCCTTGAGTGCTCGTGCTAATGCCTGCTTCATCGACGGTC